TTGCTTTTACCTCCTGTATTGTACTGCCTCAAAATCAAAGTTCAAGAGACTGGTTAGGAAATACTAATTAATATTTTCTCTCTTCATATAGGTAAAAGACAAACAGTGAGAACAGAATTTTGGAGTCTATGATGCTCAATAATTTAGCAATCCTAATAAAATCGGAAGAAGGAATCCCTTAGATGTTTTTAAACCTCTATTTCAGGCTAACTTGTTTTTAAACCTCTATTTCAGACTAACGTATGACAAGGGATAGTTATAAACAATGCAAAAATTTTAAGAAAGGGAAAAAATCTAGAATCTTTACAAAACTCTAATTCTTAATTTCGTTTGTTAAGGATATTGAGCCTCATTCTGAGACATGAATACCATGCAAAATTTTAAGGAAGAGCAGCTATTATCTTTTTATAATGAAATGATACAACCAGAAAAAGGATAGCTTTTAATGAATCTAAAGTAACAAAAGTTAATGTAGAATTGGAAAGAAGATTCCTTAGCATTCTGTTTGTAATTATTAAATGTTGAAAAATAACAAAGATAAAGCAGAGAAAGGTCATTGTATTGAGAATATTTCTAAATAATATTCCATTTTCTCCCCTTAAAATGAAAAGCCACATAAAGTATATTTTGGATTCTGGTAATGGTTTAAAATCTATCATGAATCAGAGGCCACACTGAGCTAGTTGGCACAAACTAGTTAGAGAAATGTTTTGATTTCTATTGTTAGGCATTTTTTCATTTAATTAAGAAAAAAATGGGTTAATAAGTATACCCCACTTTTCTGACTGATAACAAAATCCATCAAGAGCAGTCTAATTTCTGATAGCCCAGGTGATGGGCATTTTTAGAAAATCAAGATTGGGTAGCTGAGATACTCATCTTGCTTGTTCAGGTGACGCCTGGAGTTTCAGTTGGCCTTCTCACAACTTCACTCAAAAGAACAAGCCTATACTAATGACAGAAGTGACCCAGCATAGTAAAACCTAATTGAGAAGAGCTCATTAACATCACGGTCATTTGTAGCCCCATCCATCCAGAGGGGGAATGTCAAATTTAGAAGAAGTAGTCTACTTTGTCTTGAACCAGGGTGAGAACATTGAATAATGTTATAATTGATAATAATTGGTACCATTTCAATCATTTCCTTTTTATTATAATAACCAACTCAAATAAGTTGGTTTCCCTATTTTATATTCCTGTAAAGCTATTTTGATTTAGGTAAAAACCTGAGGGTAGACTAGAAAGGATTTCTAGTCTTCAGGTAAGACTGTTTTCTTACTACTCAGGCTACTTAAGAAGTCATTCTAAATAAGCAGCCTTAATTAAGTTTTCCACCTGAGTCAAGAGAAACTCAAAGAGAAAGCAACCCTACACAGGTTACGGAGCTCTAAAATATTACATTCTCCTTTTTTTACCACCCATGGAGAGGGGGGAAAGGCACCAAGACAGCAGAGTACAAACCTAATGATGTCATTTTCTTTTTTTAACTTTAAAACCTTCAAAGGCTCCCTTTTGCCAAAGATAAAATCCAACTTCCTGGCATGTATGCAAAAGTATTCATGCACAGGTCCCTGCAGAACATACTGGCAGCTCAGATGAAACCCTGGGAAAACCTTTCTAGGAAAAGCTCTTTCTAAGGTAAAGAGGGGAGGAGAGTTTAGGCAGATGGAATATGCCATTGAGTAAATAGCCCAGATGACAGAAGCCCCATGGTATACAGGGAAACCAAGCAGCTAGATACTGTGGAACGTAAAATGTGAGGGAAGAAATGGCAAACTATTGTAATTTAACCAAATGAAATTATCAAGAACTCTAGGACATACTCAGCAATGGCTTATCACAAATCTATCTCCAGGCTTCCATCTTTTAAGTTCAGATAATTTAAAATAATGTATTTTCTCTTTCCTTCATTTTTAATAACTGTGCAAATAATATATGTATTCCTTGTTTAAAAGAATTCTACAACTAAGGATAAAATCCCTTTGATCCCTTTAATGCCCCCACTCCCAGAAAAAAACTAGTCTGGCATGTATATTCATTCAGAACTTTTATTATACTTTACATTCATAAATATGTACCCACAAAAATATACAGCATTACTTTATGATCTAGGGTTTCCAGATACATGGCATAATTTGGATTCCTTCTTTTACTAGACAATGTTTTGGGAGTCTATCTACATAAGTCCAAATAGATGTAACTTATTATTTTATATTATGAAAAACTTACAGCTCAATTAATTTAGCCATTACCCTACATTGGTTATTTAGGTATTGAGAATGAATTTTTACAGTGCCATTTAGAGTTTGGCAACCTAGAAAGTAAAGAATAGTTCTGAAAAATCACATACACTCATCTCCAAAGTCCAGAAATAATGTGTCTTCTTGGTGATAACAGTTTTCTGTTTAACTGACACTTCTTTTGAAAGTGATGGAGACTAATAATTCAGAGAAATCCTCAAGTTTTGTATTCTAAATGCAGCCAGAGAAAATAAAATAATGATAAATGCTTGTCAATATGTGTGAATCTCTTCTGAAGGTCCAATTTCATTTCCATGAAATAGTCCTAGAAATTCTGTATATACATTTTCCACTGAGCGCAAAGCCTAGGAGTCTAGTATCTAGTTATTTTCTCAAGCCACATAATCTATTTGAATCCAAATACCTGAAATTCCTTGAATAAGTTAGCAAAAGTTTTCTTTTTTAAGGAGGTTTAATAATCACTGTATCTAATATCTTATAATGTTGATAAGAAAATAAAGTTTTGGGAACCCCTGAGAATTAAGTAAAGTGAGCCAATTTGAAATGGTCCTTGATACAAGAAAAGAGATCATTAAATTCTTTCATTAAGTTCCTACTGCAATAAAACAAAATTTTTAAATTTCCATAGTCCACTATAGATTCTTTCAAATACTCTGTAAGTTGACAGTGGTTAAGAATACAAAAAGACATCCTTTTTGCAATCTCAATCACTTCTATAATATCAGTGAATGTGACTTAGAACGGTCATAGCCCTAAGTCTTCTAATTAATGATTTAATTAAACATAGATACAACAAATTTTTGTTTTGGTTTGAATAAAGTTTTGATATCAAAATTTTATCATACTGCATATATTCCTTCTATAGTAAAACAAGTAAGTTCTTACATGTTCTAACCAAACCTCTCTAAAATTCCTTATCTGCAAATAAGCCCTACAAATTTACATATACTAATTAATCAGAAATAAGACTGGGGGTTGTGTGCGTTTGTTTACTTTTGAGGAGCCGCTGAATCGCAAGAAGGCTATACTTCAGGCAGGGAACTACTGGCAATGAGTTGTCTGTTGTGCTCCTGATGTGCTGGGGACCAAGCTGGTGAGATCACCAGAGATGATATAATTTCAAGCAGCACTGTCCAACAGAAATAGGAACATGAGCCACAAATAAGAGCCACATGTAGAATTTAAAATTTTTTTATTTTGTAATTTTTATGGGTACGTAGTAGTACATATATTTATGGGGTACATATTTTGATACAGGAATATAATGTGCTATCATCTAATTTAAAGCTTTTAATAGTCACATTTAAAAAGAAAAGGTAAAGTTAATTTAGCAATATATTTTATTTTACCTAATATAGGCAAAATATTATCACTTCAATGAGCAAAATTTTTAAATTATTAATGATATTTTATATGCTTTTGTTCACACTGTCTTCAAAATGCAGTGTGTACTTCACACATATAGCACTTCTTAATTGGATTAGTCATATTTCAAATGCTCAAAAATCCATATATGGCTAGTGTTTATCACATTAGACATCACAGATATAGAGGAAAAACCAAAACATGGAATTAACATAGACCTGAGTCTGAATTCTAGTTTCATACTAACAAAGCTCTGTGACCATGAGCCAGTTATATAAACACTTTGGGCCGTGTTGTTCTCATCAGTAAAACAGAAATAATATAACTGGCTTTGCAAATTTCTTATAAGAATCAGAGCTAATATATGTAAAATACCTTGGCAGATTGTGTGCCTGGCACATAACAGAGCTCAATAAAATCCTCATCATCCTCATAACAGGAGACAAAGAAGCACCATTGTAAGAAAGGTCAAATCCCAATCAACCTAGGTGCCTATCAGTGGTGGATCAGAGGAAGATGGGGTACATATAGACCATGGAATACTACTCAGACTAAAAAATGAAATCATGTCTTTTTGAGCAAGATGGATCAAGCTGGAGGCCATAACACTAAACAAATTAACACAGGTACAGAAAACCAAATACTGCACATTCTCACTTCTAAGTGGGAGCTAAACATTGAGCACACATGGACATAAACATGAGAACACCAGACATTACAGACTATAGGTGAGAGGGAGGGAGGGGAGCATGGATGGCAAACTACGTATCGGCTGCTATGCTTACTACCTGATGAGATGATCTACACCCCAAACCTCAACAGCACGTAATATGCCCATGTAACAAACCTGCACTTGTATGTACCCCCTTATCTGAAATAAAAGTTGAAATTTTTTAAAGAAAGAAAGAAAGTGAAGGTGGAGAAGAGAAAGAGAACTTGAAATAAGGTTATCAAAATGTTTTCTAACTAAAATCGGCTATTATCCATACAAAAGGAAAACAAACAAAACCCACATTTTCCAAAATTATGATATCGTCAGAACTAGAGATATGGTGGAGGGTTTATAACTCTCACAAATTTTTTAAAGCAAATTTTAAAAATTTGCTTTCTTGATTATTGTTGCCATGCTAATATTACTTTCCATTTCTAAAAGGAGAAAATGGCTGGCAAGTTGACTAGAAGGTTTACTGGCACAGAAGTGGCATTTTGGGATAAAAATGTTTATACATAATCTACTTATACTATGTATACTGATAATTGAGAATTCACTATATAATACATAACAATAAAACTTTTTTCAAATAATTGTTATAGTATGTTTTTCATTCATTTATATAAGACCAAAATGCAATACAGAAAATATATACAACGTACCTCTGATAAAAATGTTTGGGCTGATTTCTGAGCTCCTACATGGAGCAGATATTCATATACGTAGAGTGCTAACCTGGAAAACAAATAAAATATTTATTGAGAAGAAGAATATTAAAATTCATTCTTTAAATAATGTACATATTGGCAGAGCACAGTGGCTCATGCCTGTAATCCTTGCACTTTGGAAGGCTGAGGTGGGTGGATCACGAGGGTCAGGAGTTCAAGACCAGCCTGGCTGACATGGTGAAACCCCGTCTCTACTAAAAACACAAAAATTAGCTGGGTGTGGTGGCGGGAGCCTGTAATCCCTCCCACTTGGGAGGCTGAGGCAGGAGAATTGTTTGAACCCAGAGGCAGAAGCTGCAGGTGAACCAAGATGGTGCCATTGCACTCCAGCCTGGGTGACAGGGCAAGACTCCATCTCAAAAAAAAAAAAAAAAAAATGCACATATGTTCTTTCCATTGCTGAAATATTTTACACACTAACAGTGACTAAAAATAAATCCTTCCCATACCATTTCAACAGGAATTATTAATAATACATGTATGTTCAGAAAGAACTTAAACTAATTAAAAATAGCACATGAAGAAAAAGACAAATATATCTTTTCTTGGCAAGAAATATATAGAGATTTTTTCTTGAATCATCTCACTTATCAGCTCATTCCCTTTGCTATATCTACTATTAATAATCTCTAAATTCCATTTGAAGGCATAATTACCTTTCATTAGTAAAAGGAATAAATTAAGTTAGTGGACTTTCCCAACACTTTATGTCTGTCCTTCAATCTGTTTGGCGAATGTTAAATTCTAGCTGTTTGTAGAACCATATGCCAAAACTTGTGTTGAATATCCATTTTAATATTTGCTCAGCAATTTCTCCTTATTTTTTAGATTTGTTAAACCGGTAATACTTTAGTTTATAAGGCATTCAAATTGAGAGCAAACTACAGCATTATGTAAACTTTAAAGATATCAGATCGTATTAAGCATATGGGAGCTTACAGTTTAAAGGTTAACAAAATTATGTATCCATTTATAGCTCAAATATAGAATATTGAATGTGTTGTATACACAAACTACTCTCATTATCTTGTGGATTCAGAATTTTTAGGCTACACCATGTGGCTCAATTTCAGTTGAGCTGTTAACAAAATATTATTCATAAACCCAAATTAGTCTGAGGCAGTATTTTTAATGATATCTTGGACCAATGCCCAGATTGCTCACAACAGTTCAGTTTCTACTACACTGTATTTACCAATATTAAGTCAGGTTTACAGTAAACAGTACAATGTAACAATAACCACAATTCTGTATAGTTGTACCACTTCTCTTGCCAAGCAAATTTTTGACTGTTAAAGATTGATGACATTTACAAAAATGAGTATTTTCTTTATTTTCATGAAAACATATCATGCATCTGTCATGAAAAGAGAAAGTGTGTACAAATTCAGTCGCTCTGTCCATTTAATTATTTCCCCATTACAAAGTTGCCAAACACTTAAAATAATAGTTATTCTGTAGCTACTAAGCACCTTGAGAGAGTAGACTTGTTAAAGTTACTCACAATTGACAGTTAGGATGAATGTAATTTAGAAACATCTCCTAACATATTCAAACTGAATGACACTTCCTAGATCAGTGCTTCTCAACTCTTTTTCCTACCCTAACACAATAAGGGATCTAGCAGGCTCCTTTCAGTAGCAGTATCTCCCTGTGTAAGTGTGGCTTATCACCCAAAGTACATCATAAGGGATACATCATAAGGAAATTGTAATATTTCTGTAGTTTCAAACAACCAATCCTGCTGGTGATTCTTACCACACATTATTCAAACACATACCCCATACCTTTTTCCCTCCACTAGTGACACTTAACTCTATCACATGATTCAGTGCCATGATGGCAAATTTTGTCTTGGAAAACGAGAATATTTGTAAAATCTTCTTGGATAGACTGTGGAGCCTCAAAATTCCCTGCCAGGGGCAGTCCTGTCCTACTGTCTGAGCAAAACATAGCCTCAGGTAACTTCATGTGGTTTAGAAACCTTGGGCCTAGAGCCAAACCAGTTGTTCGGAAAGCAGTCCTGGCCTAAGTAAAAGGCTGAACAATAAAGGTGGTCCACCAAGGTTGGAGAGTTTGAAAGTGAGAGGCACAGTGAATGACGCAGCGACATCATGACAGTCCTGGTAGGGAGAGAGCAGATCTCAGAACAGTAAAGGCCAGAGTACATCTGTGGCTGTGTCCTTTCAATAAACCCCATTCCTTCAAGGTAAGTGAGTTACTTCCTTGTAATGTCTTCTTTTTCATATTGATGGGGGTAATATATTTCTTCTAAGTTTTCCTTACCTAAGTAACAAAATGGATAAACTTTACAAGTAAAATTAAAAGTGATAGTTCCCACCTTCTCTCAAAGTCTAAAACAGTGATTCAAAAAAATATATTGGAAGGGACTGACAAAAATGGGGGGTAAGGGTTTCTACTGGAGATTTTCAAGTATCTTCCAAGGGTGTGAGCCCATCTTCCTACCATTAGAATCTGTGCTGTAGCAGCTCATTGTTACCAAGAGGGTAATGAAGTGTGACTAGGCTGAGAAAACCTCTCTATAATGGTATCTCATGTATTCATGTTCTGCAATCTCCTTTGAACAAAATTAATGCTTCTCAGGCAATCAGAATCTATGTTCCAAAAACAGTGTCAGGGAGCAATGCGTGGGTGAACAACTAATTAACTCTACTGCCATGATGACTCCATAATACAGGATCAGCAATCTCCATTTTTTTAAAAATTTTCATAGGTTTTTGGGGAACAGGCAGTGTTTGGTTACATGAGTAAGTTCTTTAGTGATGATTTGTGAGATTTTGGTGCATGCATTACCCGAACAGTATCTACTGCACCCAATTTGTAGTCTTTTATCCCTTAACCCCCTCCCACCCTTTCCCCCAAGTCCCCAAGTCCATTGTATCATTCTTTTATTATTATTATTATACTTTAAGTTCTGGGATACATGTGTTGAACATGCAGGTTACATAGGTATACACATGCCATGGTGGTTTGCTGCACCCATCAACCCATCATCTACATTAGGTATTTCTCCTAATCCTATCCCTCTTCTAGCCCTTCAACCCTGACAGGCCCTGGTATGTGATGTTCTGTGTGTTCTCATTGTTTGACTCCCACTTATGAGTGAGAACATGAGGTGTTTGGTTTTCTGTTCCTGTGTTAGTTTGCTGAGAATGATGGTTTCCAGCTTCATCCATGTCCCTGCAAATGACATGAACTCATCCCCTTATATGGCTGCATAGTATTCTATGGCGTATATGTGCCACATTTTCTTTATTCAGTCTATCTTTGATGGGCATTTGGGTTGGTGCAAGTCTTTGCTTTGTGAATAGTGCTGCAATAAACATACATGTGCATGTGTCTTTACAGTAGAATGATTTATAATCCTTTAAGCACATACCCAATAATGGGATTGCTGGGTCAAATGACATTTCTGATTCTAGATTCTTGAGGAATCGCCACACTGTCTTCCACAATGGTTGAAGTAATTTACACTCCCACCAACAGTGTAAGAGCATTCTATTTCTCCACATCCTCTCCAGTATCTGTTGTTTACTGACCTTTTAATGATTGCCATTCTAACTGGTGTGAGATAGTGTCTCGTTGTGGTTTTGATTGGCATTTCTCTAACGACCAGCGATGATGAGCTTTTTCTCATATGTTTGTTGGCCACACAAAAAAACTTCTGCTGAGAAGTGTCTGTTCATATCCTTCACCCATCTTTTGATGGGGTTCTTTCTTTCTTGTAAATTTGTTTAAGTTCCTTGTAGATTCCAGATATTAGTCCTTCATTAGATGGATAGAACCAATCTCCAATATTTTAATTATCACCTCTGTGCATAGGATTTTCCAAAGCTATCTCTGTAGTGATATCCTCTGTCCCAAGTTCCAAACATGCTTCTCCAAACTAAACTGTTTGAAGTTTGGTGTTTTTTGTTTTGTTTTGTTTTTTTGAGACGGGGTCTTGCTCTATCATCTGGCTGGAGTGCATTGGTGTGATCATAGCCAACTTCCTGCCTGCCTCAACCTCTCAAGTAGCTTGAACTACAGGCACACACCACCACATTTGACTAATTTTTAATTTTTTTCTTTTTTGTAGAGACAGGGTCTTGCTATGCTGCCAACACTGGTCCCAAACTCCTGGACTCAAGAGTCCCTCCTGCCTAGGCTTCCCATAGTGCTGATATTACAGGCATGAGTGACTGGGCCTGGCCAGTTTGTTTCTAAAAATATGTTTCTCTCTTAAATTGACCACATCTAAAGTTAAATTCACCTTCTCCATCTGTTTTCATAATACCTGCACTCACCTTGAATGGAATAGTTTCCTCATGTGTCAAGCGGGAGGAGTAATATTTTGCTTGTATTGTCAAAAGGATTAGAAAGCACAGTAAGTAATAACGATTGTTATAATTCTGGTCAATAATGAAATCATGTATTGGATTCTAAGAACACTATCTCTGCCATATTTGCCATTCCTTTCTTTCTTCCTTCCTGCTCTGGAAGAACCATCAGAAGTCACAGCAAGAGCAGGAGCTATCACATTTGCTGTAGCTTCAATTATATATACCATGTATTTCCCATTAGCTCCCCTACAAAAGGTCCACCAGAAATAAAAATCCAGAAAGTTCTGGGGGGAAAGCCCTGTAATAAAAGATGCTGTCTGAACACAAATGATTCTGGCAGTGAAGAGTGACACTTTCCATTCATGCAGGTAAATCACAGCTTGGTATCTTGTCTAGTCATGTGAAATCACCAAACATAAGAAGGCAGCATTTTGAGGAGGACATAGTGGCTCATGCCTGGGAATAATCCCATCACTTTGGAAGGCTGAGGCAGGAGGATAGCTTGAGCCCTGAAGGCTGAGGCAGGAGGATAGCTTGAGCCCTGAAGGCTGAGGCAGGAGGATAGCTTGAGCCCTGAAGGCTGAGGCAGGAGGACAGCCTGAACCCTGGAGTTTGAGACAAGCCTGGGCAACAGAGCAATACCCCATCTCTAAAATATATATAT